CAAATGTTACTGTTCGTATCAAGTCTTACACAAGATCTGTGAATTGATGTCATCTGTTTTAATAGTTAGTGATAATGTTGTCAATATCTACAAGCAAACGGGTCGACCGTAAACAGAAAGTTTGCCATTTTTTCTCGATAAGCATCCTAACAGTAAATGACTGTTAAATATTAGTCAGTGCTAGTTTTACATGTCAATTCCGCTAATTTATGCAGGAAACTCTTTTGACTGATTAACTGATTTCGAGCAAGAAAATATTCTGTTGATCAATTATAGGCCAGTAATCTATATTTTCTTTAAGAATTCATGAAATGAGTTTCTTTTGCTTAAATTCTGCTCCTGTAAATATACGTGCAGCCGAAGGGCATTTAGTTCTATCAGGTAATGCAAAGTTATGTAAGTTATGTTATGGTATGAACGTACTGTTCAAAAGAATTTCGACCTTCAAGGAAAAGGAAAAAAACCTGAAATAAATTCAGTAAATACGAAATGATCGAGTAGACAGAAACGGTGATGTCGCCCTTCCCTTAAAGGGATCATCGCATGCAATTTCAAGTTTAAACAACATTGTTGCGCTACGGTTCGTTCGTCTTGACCGTTTGCTTTGCGTAGTGGATGATTTATCGCCATAACATGTTATTGTTCGACTGTTTGCTCACACTGGCCGTGTCATTCTCGTGGATTCTGTTCTGATGTGCTATAATGGCATCCAGCTGTCTGCTTGCTCCATTCAAGACGGATAGCGACTCCGTTCCTGACTGGTGTCTCCGTCGTGGTTCAGTCGATCTTCAGAGTAAATGTCGTTAAGTCGGAAACCTTCCAGGGTTGGCACTGGTTTACGCCAAGACTGCGTCGTGCCCCCTTCTGTTAGTGTTGTACATGAATCGAATAGCCAGGAACAACCAAGGTGATTAGTGTATCAATGTAGGAGATGTCGAGAGGAGAAGGTTGCTGTTTGCAGACGTTCTTTTTTGTTGACATCTTCTGAATCTGATATGCAACGCTTTCTGGAAATGTTCGCAGCCGAGTGCGACCTGGCCAATATGCGTGTGAACGCGTCTAAAACGAAAATTCTAGAGCCTTCTCGTTCTCCTATCCGTTGTTAAGATTAACGGAGAGGCAGTGGAGGAGGTGGAGAAGTTAAAGTATCTCAAAATCGTATTTACTAGTGATTGAAAATTTGAGGAAGCGATCGACTGGTGGAATGGAGTAGCCCCCAGTGGCGTTCTGCATGAATTAGCCCGATCCATTGTGACTAAAGCAGAGCTCAAACTGAAAACCAGGCTCTCGGTACCAAGTCGATCTTCATCTGCGTGCTTACCTGCGGTCATGAGTCGTGAACCATCACTGAAAAACTTGGAACCCGGTAACAAGCTGCTGAAATGGGCTTTCTTAGACGAGTCGCTAGCCTTACTCGTCTCGACATGGTCCGGAATAGTGACATCCCGAAGAGCCTTGGAATACAGCGTCTGCTTCTCCAGATTGAGAAGTCACAGCTGCGATGGTTTGGGCATGTTTTGCGAATGCCTCTAGAAATGAAGGGTAAGCAACTGTTTCTTGTTAACTGACTGACAGAAGGCCCAGATGACGGTAAATATATGCAAGGAGTCTGCTTCAGACTCCAGTCTGGAAGAAGATTTCCGTCTTGTGCCAAGGCTCAGGCTCTGGCTCAGGATCGCGAACGTTTGAAGCACTGTCTGACGCGTCAGTCTCCACGACCCGAAGTGAGAAGCGGTAATTTAGGATAAAGATGACATGAAGTTGTTCAATACGAGCACTTTCCGATTCTTTCTTCTGTCTGGTCGATCTGTCTTCATGCTTCATTCAAAAGATTAACTGCTAATGAAATCTTTCACCATGACTTATTCCAAAATAGACACTTAAATTAACTTGCATTTTGGTGATATTCAATGCTTCTTGTTAGATGTGTGATGAGAATGACATTCTTTTAGAGAAATTTGCTGTGGAATAAGGAAGAGACCTGTCGATCGTTCGGGATAAGTGAATATTTATATCTAAATTCGAAGAATTTTTTATTTAAAATATAGCGGTTCCCATTTCATCGGTGATCTTCAAAATCAAAAGTCGCAAAAAAACGATACTGAATAAAAACGGCCATGAAAACCGAGGCATATGAATAAAAATGTTGAACCAACTATAGTTGAAAATGTCCAATACTGAGTGCTAAACTACAATACGGGGTGATCCTGGATGCTAAACGTTAAAGCCTACTGGTTCCAAACCGACCAACCGATGCGGATAACAAGAAGCCTGAAAGTCTGGCAACCTCCTGTCTTGACGAAGGCTCGTGAGACACGACACAGTACGGATACATCAGTAGTTGTCCCATTAACTGAATTTCCGTTTTTATTAATAAACCGTGTTTTGCGCTTTTTTAATTTTGATCACCTACGTACGAAATACTCTACTTTACAGGCATTATTACATTTGAGAGCAGATGGCATGATGCCCACCGAGAGGCTTATTTTCCTGGTCTCATCCAACTGTCATCAATTAAGTCGAATGTTCTTTTCAACCATCCAGTCAATCAGTGAAATTTATTTTCCTGATTTCTAGTAATAGCTATCCAGAAACTCTTAATCGATAAACATGCCCTCGACGTCTTTAAAGAGGCTAAGAGACGAGGCAGCATTTGGTGCCCATTTCTTCGCTGGCACATCGTTCCGTGGATTTCAAATCTTCACAGCGGTTCAAATGTTGAAAAGAACGCCCTGAGTCGCACTTTACCGGTTGTTGTCAGGCCAGTGCTGCAGTAACAGGACGCTCGTTCAGGCTCCAAGCCTGTTAACACTATATATCACTAGTTAACTGTTAGTTATCACTGCTGGTTAACTTTTACCATACGAGGAAAGTCTTGAATAAATCTTCACACTTTTTCATGGTGTGTCATGCGAAGTCAGTTGCATGTCTCATCATTTCAGAAATTTCTCAGGTCACTTTCTTTATCTTATTTTTAATCATTTTTTCGTAGGTCCTCAATATCTGCTAATTGTGACTCCGTCACATCTTTTTTCGCTTTCAGCACTGATGGAAAAAATGTGGATGAATAAGAGCCGTTCTGCCTTACTCAAAAATTTACACCAACATTCTAGTATCGCAGATTTTTGAACAGTTGAAAGGTACACTAGAACCATTTCTATATCAAACGATTTTCCACATTTTTGGGTTTCACAGTTTCTATCGAAACGGGAAGGTTGCAAAGTAGGGCATGTAAAGCAGTCGAAACGTTAGGCAGACAACTCCCGCGACGATCTTAGAATCAGCGAGTAGATCTTAAGACGATCTAGGACATAACCCTCGCTCGTTTGGGAACATTGAGGAGAGCCAGAAATTTTTGTAAAGAAGTTATTAATTAAAGTAAAGTAAAGGTACCATAGAATGCTGAAGTCGGCTTTTAGTCGGTTCATGAGAAGGAACGACGAATGCAAAAAGCAGTAGTAATAACTAAATTAGTGCCAAACGGATAACGAAGGTAACGGTTATAGGAAGGCATCGATAGGTGGACGAAATTGAACATTGTTCATGTATGCAGATCGTACAACATCAAAAACGAAGGAAAGAAAAAAAGAATGTTTGTAGCCGTTGGTAGGTAGATCTTCTTAGCACTTCCATGATATGGTCATTTCTGGCATCCTTAATGTTCATGAAATTAATGATTAGGCGCTGATTTTATGTACATTCCATTAGCCAGGAGTGCTTTGTTTTAAAGGCAAAATGACAGCAGTTATGTAACAAGCATACTGGGTAATCTTTGGTTTTCTTCCCACAGAATGGTATTCATTTATGAACCTCGAAAGGACAAAAGTTGAACTACTCGCCTGGCCGGTATTCTAACCCAGTACCTGTTCATTCCAAGTCAGATGCTCTACTGACTGAGCTACCCGATTTATAGCACCAAGAAATGTAACAAACTTGTTCATCATTCTGTATAACTTCTGATCGTTGAATGACACTGTACAAAATGATTTTGGCAGCTTCTACAAATGTAAAACTAGCTATTGGAAGCTTATTGACATGATAAAGGCTTACTTCCACATGCACATGCAGCATATAGATCTTCGGTTTTGTGTATTTATTTATAATTATTTCCTTCTTGTATGAGTTTTTGATGTTTACATTTTCAATTTTCTTCTACTCAGGTGACACGCTTTATGTTTAGTCGCTCTACATGCACTGAAAAGAAAAAAGCAGTACGAGAAACACCTTCAGCAGATCGACGGCACCCTGTCTACAATAGAGTTTCAGAGGGAGGCGCTTGAAAATGCCAGCACCAATACGGAAGTTCTAAACGTGATGGGCTCCGCTGCCAGAGCGTTGAAGGCGGCCCACAACAACATGTACAGATCGTCAAATGATATTCGTGTTTTTTTTGTATTTCGTAATCAGTTGTTCTATATAGGGACGTGGATAAGGTTCACGATTTGATGGACGACATCGCTGAACAACAGGACGTAGCAAACGAGATTTCTGAAGCTATATCCAACCCGATTGGGTTCGGTCAGGATGTGGACGAGGTGAGCGCTATGCATGTCTTCGGAAAATAATTGCATAAGCTCGTTTAATCATGTCGCCTAAGTTTGCTTTTAAACCTGAGTTTTACAGGGACTATGGATTGGTCCGAACTTTTTTTTAATGTTTCTTCAAGCAATAATTCCACATATGCTGTCAGTATAACAATTGTTGTGTTTAAGTTATGCTCATTTGTCTAGTTATTCATGGTGTAATCTTTTTTACAGGAGGAACTGATGGCGGAATTGGAAGAACTTGAACAGGAAGAACTCGACAAACAGTTGTTGGACGTTGGCCCCACACCCGCCCCACCCGTCAAGCTACCAGAAGTTCCTGCTTCGAAACTTATTCCTCCCCAGCGTATGTTGCTGATTTTATTTTGTCTTGGTATTAATAAGTTATGATTTTATTTTTGTTTGTTTTTGTAATGGTATGATATTACAGGTGTCAGTGCACACATGAGTTAGACTTTTAATGTTTGTTGCCTGAATTTGATTAATGAGAAACTTCAGATTTGAAAGTTGAAAGTTAGATGTTGATCACACTTGGCAGTCATGTCGTGGTATGTTTTCCTAGATGATATTACGAAAATGCGATATTTCGATTACCGTCTATAAGATATAGCGACTCTGCTTAAAACCAGACGATTGATATGACATAAGATTGAAATAAATGTAGAACACAGTTACGATCTATTTTCTGCAGTTGCATGATTCTACACATCGATTTTCAGTAATAATAGATGTTAGATTTGAGTGTAGCATTGAATTTTGAATGCCAAGTTTTGTTCATATTCAAGCCGGTAAGATTGTCATGTTCAATTTAACTGAGAAAAATGAAATTTTCCTTCTGCATTACATAACGCTCTTTGTATTAGAAACCGCGCTACTTCATCTCCTTTATTTGCATGTGTTTCTGCTGTATATGTGATATAATTAAGCTATTTAAAGTATCACAGCATCTGCTTTGTCTCTGAACAGTGGATGACAGCGGTTGAATTTTTTTATGCGTGTAACTGTGCGGCTTTTTTCGTTAGATTGAGCGACAGGTAGTTGTTGTGGTATAAAAATTCATTATTATTTATTTATGTTATGATGTATACACCCGCAACAAACAAGTCAGCCGCTAGCAATTTTCACATGTAAATAATCTTTTGGTAAGTCACGAACGGGAAGACCACGCATAAAATGTTCTTTAATTAGAGTCATCTGACGTTAAACAGCCTCATCGTTTCATACTTTAAGTGTACTTTTGTTTTAGCTGCTAAACAAAAACAGGAAGAAGATGAGCTCCAAGAGTTGAAGAAATGGGCCTTTGGCTAGCGCTTTGGTTTGTGTGATACGTCTTTTCATTAATATATTGTATTTGTACATCAACTCTTTATTTAAATATATTGCAATTATGAACTAAATAATTTCGCTGTTTCGCATTTTCTTTTGCTTATCCCGGTGTGTTGCTGAGCGTTTTAGCTGACCGTATTATTTTTTAGTAATTCTATTTATATTTACTGATCAATTGTCAATACATTTATTAAAATTTCGAAAACGGATGTGCTCGTATTTTTTGTCCGAGCACAGCGAAGTACTTTTTGTTGTCCATATTTAGCACGTGTTCTTTTATGTTATATCCTGTTATGTAGTTATGTTGAATTAACAGATTTGTTCTTCTGCGATGCGAATGTGCTTTGTTATCAGTTTCACGTTTGGTATGTGGACATAAAAGTTATTAAATGCTTATGCCTTGTTCAATAGGTTTTAAGTATGTGCAGAGAGCTATGAAGTATAGACCATTTATGAAACGACATAATTTGCATTAAAGTGGGAGTGTTAAATATGATGAAATTTGGGCTGTGTCCAAAGTTTTTCTCAGCACAAATGCAACTGAACTTCGGTTGCGTTCGTCGTTTACAGGCAGAGAGTGTGACATGGCATAATTAAGCGCTACCCTATTCACTTCTTTACTTAATAATGTGCAGTTACTGTCTTTTTGTCCATTGTATTTTCATGTTTGGCAAATTGCTTTTTGATCACCTTTCTGGTCAAGTTTCTTTTGTTCTTTGATCGGCAGTTGCTTGTCGAAAGTAATGTAAATATAGTTTCGACTCGTTTCATCTACTCGGCTCCATAGCTTACCAGAATTCGTCAACTTTTTACATAGTAGTTAAATGTAGCCTTCAGTTGGTTGCGATGCTGAAAGTTCGGACAGAACGGCTACGAAAGTGGGACATGTGAGAAAGTTGGCAGTGAGCGTAGTTGCATTACAGTTACTGTGTTATCGATTTATTGTCCCGCAATGACAAAACTTTTGGATTTATGCTATCTGAATATGTGCATAATTATTTGAATTAATAAGCTGCAATTCAGTACTTTCGTTCTCCTGAACTCAGTAGTGCTACGCTAGACGCACACCGTTGAAAACTACCTTGTATCAACGAA